ACTGCACCGAACTGGATCCGGACCGGCTCATGCCTGCCACTGGGGTCTTCGACTGTGTGAGGCTGGCCATCGCTCGGGCGTCCATTCCCTGTGCTTTTTTCGGTGTCGTGCGTGGTTGACTCGCCAAATGATCAAGGATGCTGCTCGATGGTCCTCGCCGAAGGAAACATGCACACGTCCGAGCGATGCCAAGGCCACTGGGGTCTTCGAACGTGTGAGGGGTGTGCCGAATCGGGGGCGGGGGCGCCGCTGTGCGGGCCCTGCCGCAGGGGCCGCCTTCGGTGGAGCTGCGCAATGGAGCTGCGGACGTTGGGGGCGGTCTGCCGAATGGGGTGCGGGCGCGCCATGCGGGCCCTGCCATTGGATGGGCTTGACTGGGGAGCGGAGGCGCCACGCGGACCCTGCTAAAGGGGCCCTCGGCGCATGCGCACGGCTCCCGCGCACCCTTTCTTCTCGCATGCGCCGCGGCGGTTGTGGGAACATTCATGTAGGAGGAATATCCAAGAAAAGGAAAAGAGAAAAAGGAGGCGGGATGGAGGACGGAATAGTGAGGGGAGGAGGCGGCGTTGCGCGACCTCCGACTTCCGGCATGCTGCTTCTCAGTCCCACCAGCCTTTAGGGCGTAAGTGGTCTAGGGAGCTTCTTCTTTCAACCCCCTTCTTCCCGTTCTGGGAGGGGTTTATCACTGTTCCCTATTAATGAACACCTCCTTCTCCACCTGGCCGTTAGCCAACCGGGAACTATGCGCACACCATGAGGGCCCCCCACCATATCAAACAAATTAAAAAAAAACAATACAAAATGCACATTGCGGGGCCCACCCTGCCAACACACTCCACAATCCCTGTCAAAAAAACGACACGCAATGCACATTGCAGCAATCTGGACAGTGCGCTCGCGCCCTGTGACCACGTCGTATTGTTTTTTGACAGGGATGGCGGGGCACCATGAGTGAAGCCGCTTTGTGCAGGACCACCATCCGTGCCAAAAACAATGCAAAGTGCACGTTGCGACAACGTAGTGGGTTTTGTGCTGGCCACCCGCGATCACTTTGTTTTGCTTTTTTTGAAAGGGATGGCGGTGGTGCCCGCATGAAGATGCTTGCTGTGCGCAGGCCCAAAACAATGCTGACGCCCCCCGCATCAGCATCTGGACCATGCGGACGGGGTGCATAAGGTTTTTTGGTTTAAAAAGAAGAAGAAAAAAACAAGGATGGCACACCAACCGCATGTGGAGCCCACGGATAGCGTCGCGCACCTGGCGTCCGCTTTGGTTCCCAGTGGATGTCCACCCAGTGGCGTCCCCTGGCTATGCCGAGACTCGGATGCCGCTTATGTGGTGGGGGGGCGGGTGGGAATGAGCTAGACAGCTTGCGTACGGAGAGGGTGTTTGGGCCCATCCCCCACCCCCACCCCCTCTGGACCTGGACGGGGGGCTCTGCGGGTAGTTGTAGCGTCCAATACGGCCTCGGCGAGGAAACCAACATCATTGGTTTTACTACGATTTTGACACCATGTTGGCCTCCGGGAGGGGGGGCTAATTGGGGAGTTCCCCTCCCCTGACCGATCTCACCCAAGACGGCCCAAAGATGGTCCCCAAGGCTCCCACGGGGGCCCCAAGAGGGCTCCAATAGGTGGCCAGGAGGCCCCAAGAGGCCCCCAGGATGCCCCCAAGAGACCCCCAAGAGATCCCCTAGAGGCCCCAAGAGGCCCCCCCGGAGGCACCCAAGACGCTCCAAGAGGCCTCGGCGAGAATGCCAGCATCACTGATTGTACTCAGGTGTTGGCTACATGTTGGCCTCCTGGGGGGGGAACTGATTAAGATGACTCCAAGAGCGCGCGGGGGAGCCCAGGATGACCTCCAGATGGCTCAAGATATCCCAAGGTGCCCCAAGATGGCTCCCACGATGCTCTACGAGGCCCCGAGACCGCTCCAATACGGCTCCAAGTGGCCACAGAGCTCCCCCAGGAGGCCCCGAAGAGGCCAAATAAATTCTTTCCAAAACCTTGGGGGGATCAATGTGTTTGGTGTTCTCGCCTTTTCGCTGCCGATGGCCATCCGAAGCGTCAAGATGACTCCAGCATTGCCCAAGAGGGCTCCAAGAGAGGCTCAAGAGAGCCCCAAGACGGCCCCGAGAGCGCCCAAGAGCGCTTCAAGAGCGCCACAAGATGCGACTGTTTGGGCTTGCGAGGGGCAGCGGTAAGTAATGCTCACCTCTTGTTTGATCGATGTCCTCCTAGATGGCCGCAAAAGCGCTCCCAAGGCTCCCAAGAGCGCTTCAAGAGGGCCCTGAGAGGCGCCCAGGAGGCCCTATGAAGCCCCAGCGGGCGCCCAAGAGGCCTCCAAAAGGCTCCCAAAAGACCCCCAAGAAGCTCTCCGAGGCACCCAGGACGCTCTAAGAGGCGTCGGGGACCGCCAGAAAGCCCCCGAGACGCTCCAAGAGGCCTCCACTGGGGGACCCTTCCTCTGCGTGCTGCCGACTTCCCTGATCGAGGCAATTCCTCTGGGCATCGTTTCTGGATGGGCTGGCAGGGTTACGCGAAGCGTCTAGAATTTCTCACCTTGCTGCTGGTTCTATCGGTATTGCCGCTAGCTGCTCTTTCTCCTCCTTCACCTCCATGGCCGGTGCCCAGTGCAGAAGCCATACCGGTGTTGACCCCTGCTAGCAGAGGCGCCAGGGTAAACTGTGAGCCTAAGAAGTGTTTGCTTGCGGCACGTGCTGTAGCGAGGTCCAATTGGGATGGCGATGACGACGATTCATCCACCTGCATATGATATCCCTGGCCAGCACGAAGTCAAGACGGCGAGGTTGTTTATTAACTGGAAATCGGGTATGCTGGCTCTGACCCCATTCGGCCAATGAAGAGATGCGTCTTAGCTCGCAGCGCGAGCAAGAGCCCAATCGTTGATGCAGCCCCCAATGGCGCTGGCCCCCTGAGCGCAGCTCCCCCTATAAGGCCAAAAAGCTCCAGGAGGGGAGAGATGCTCGGGGCCCTCGAAGACTGACTTCGCGGCGCCGCCCAGGCCAGCACGCTATAACCAGAGAGCCCGCAGAGTTCGAGAACCCTTCGGCTCCGAAACAGCCTTGACCTCGGAAATCTCAAGAATCTCCGAGGTGAGAAAAGTCGGAGGAGCATTTGGAGTGCGAGCGCGCGGAGAGGGGTACGCAACCGCTCTGACACCTGCGGAAGGCGTCGGCGCTGGCCGCGGGGGCGGCGCCGGTTCGTGGAACCACTCCATTTCCAGCGCCATCGCCACTGGCCAACGAGACTGCAGGGTGAATGGACTCCCTGAAAGTTCGCGCGGCAGCGCTGGGAGAAAGCTTACTCCTGATTCAATCCTCGCTCCTGCGGCTGGGCCTGGTACTCTCCTAGGTTCGCAAGGCTCTGGGCTACCTTCCGCGCGTTTGGGCCCTTGGACGGACTGCCGCCTTTCTTGATGCTCCCCTGGGCCCTAAGGATGCGCGATTGGATCTCTATCGCCACGGTGCGCAGCTGTGGAGTCGTGGACAGCTCGGTACTATACACTTCGTCGCGCCAGTTCGCCTGGCGGAACGCCTTCTTCTTGTCGCACACGACAGCTTTGTCCTCGAGGTCTGCCGCGCTCTGGACGGCCTGGGAATGCGCCACCACGTTGACCTTCGCCTCCGCTGGGGTCGTCCCATCTGGCTCCATCGAGAGGCACAGCCCGATCCACACGTGGAGGCGCGTCCACTTCATATGCGGCAGCGCCTCCTGGTTGCCGCTCTGCTTGTGCTGCTGCTTCGCTTCCTCGAAACGAGCTCACGACTCCCTCATCGCCTCGAGATGCGTGTGTCCTGGCCGAGCGCCACAAGAGTGAAGCAGCCCACAAAGCGACGGGACATCAGGTCGAGCCCGACCACGGTCTTCGCCGTTTTCCCCACCAAGCCGCGACACACCCCACCGCTGTTGCCTCTTGCTGCTCCTGCCTGGACTCTGCCGTGACCCGCACCTTGTGCGCCAGCTGCTGCCTGCTCGACCTGCCGCAACAACGCCTCCGTATGGAGGACCGTCGGGAAGGGCAGGAACTGTTGGGGCGTCACACTATGATGATGATACTAGAGATGATACTGCTGCTGATGGTGATTGCTATGATGATGAAGATGTTGAACGTGATTCGGATGATGGCAATGATGATGCTGATGCTGATGCTGATGATGCTGTTGATGATGCTGCCGGTGATGATGATTATGATGGTGGTGGTGATTATGATGTTGCTGCTGTTGATGATGGTGATGATGATGCTGATGCTGATGATGCTGGCCCGGCGAGAGCGAGCATCGTGACACAGTCTCAGGAGACTCCAGTCGACCTCCCTACGGGGCGCATCGCAACACACGATGCAACATACCATATACCAATACAGTGCCATACCTTTGTATGGCACTACATGTAAACGGCAGACATGCGGAACGGTAACCGTACATGAGCTCCTTACCAGGGAGACGCGTGTCTCGGATCGCGCCCCACCTAGCACATCAACTCGCTGTTTTGTTTGACGCTCACATGCATGCGTCGACCCTTTTCCCGATGACTGCTGAGGTTTTGCCGGGACGCCTTCGTCCATCCCCTACACCTTCGCAAATACCCAGACAACATTCGAGATCGACACGTTTATCAACACGGCCTCGCATACATGCTGGACGAGCGCATCCTACGACTGGCGATCTCCTAATCGTGGCTTTTCTCGAAAGCACTCCAAGCCGCGAGATATTCACAGGGGGCCTCCCTTGAAGTTGAGCGCGCCATAACCACTGGGCCAATACGGGAATCCGTCCAATCGACTAAGGTACAGCCGCGCCTCACAAGCACGTCAACCCCATGGATGCCTTGGCATCTGCTTACAACTTACACATGCTCGACTACCCTGGGCGCACTGCACGCAAACATCTGCCATGGGGTATCAAGCTGAAAGCAGATTCAGTCACTCTCCCCTGGCACCTGCGAAGGCAACCCAACGCCACGTGTACAACGCAGGTCCTTCCGTCGACGAGTACGTTCTGCGGCTTGATGTCCTGTCGCTCAACGGAAAACTTGCGACATCTAGAACATTGCCACGACGTCGTCAGTGCGACGGACGAGGAGCGGGAGGAGAGGAAACACGAAGAGTAGCAGCAGACAGGAGCAGGGGTAGCAGGGGTAGCAGGGAGAACGCCACGATTCGACGAACATCGTATACTTTCGATGGGCCCCTGATGCCAGGCAGGCCACACCTACAAGACAAGAACACCGAATCACAAAGCAGGTAACGTTGCCCCTGATGTTTGGGGCAGCCCCCTGTGGCGGCGAGTGGGCTCCTTGCGCCCAGCTTTGGTGGGCGCAGCGCAAACATCACGAAGACCACGAGGCGGGGCAGTGCTGCAGTGCTGCCCGCAGACCTGGCTGCCCTCAGAGTACCCAGCTGGTGCAGCAAGTGACACAACCAGGGAAGAGGCAGGAAGAGGGGATGGAGGCGGAGGAGGAGGAGGAGGAGGATGAGGAGGATGAGGAGGATGAGGAGGATAAGGAGGATGAGGAGGATGAGGAGGAGGAGGCGGAGGAGGAGGAGGAAGGGATGAAGGAGGGGATGAATATTTCGGAGAGGGTGCAGATTTCGGAGGGGATGGAGGAGGGGCATGGGGAGGGGGAGGGGATGACGGAGTCGAAGGACGGGGGAGGGGAGGAGCGAGAGGAGGGGTTGCAGGAGGGGACGGAGGATGAGATGGAGGAGGCAATCGGGGAGGGGACAGAAGCGCAGGAGGATGAGGAGGGCATGGCGGCGGGGATGGAACAGGGGGGGATGGAGGAGAGGGGGATGGCGTAGGAAGGGATGGCACCAAGGGGAGTTCCCCCATCGTGCCCCCCCGCCCCCCCCCCCTGGGTGCCTTGGGGTGGGGAGAGGGGGAGAGGAGCGGACCAGGCGACACTGGGCGGTTGCGTTGGGCGTTGCTTAATGGGGGGGTCACAAATAGGGGGGTCAGAAAAGGTCCCCTTTCGTGCCCCTTTCGGGCCCCTCCAGAGCCTCAAGGGGCTCGTTTAGGTACCGTTTGGGTACCTTTTCGGACCACCCGCGACACCCCCCCATTTATGACCCCCCCATTACGCAACGCCCAATTGCGGGCGCGAGCGGAGGGCCCGGTGGCAAATGCCCACGGCGTGGATGTACGCGCAGCCGCGGCACCTTGCACGCCCCCCCGGGGACGAGGAGCGTGACGAGGAGACGGAGGAAAAGGAGGGGGGCAAGGAGGAGGACAGACAGCAGGGCCGAGTGCAGAGAGGGAGAGAGCCGAGCGGGAGGCGGCGAGGAGGGACTTCGAAGGACCCCCCGAGGGAGGTCCGAGCCACTAGCTGACTACCTACCAGACCACCCCAACCCAACCCGAAGACCCGAATTTCGGGTTGGGGGGGGGCAAGGGTTCCATACGTGTTTTTTCGATGGTTCCCGACCCCCCCCCCAACTGGAAATCGAGGGTAAATTTGAGCCTTCGGGTTGGGTTGGGGTGGTTTGGTGGGTGGTGACTAGCACTCCCCTCGCGCATCCTCCCCTCCCTCCCCTTCCCCTCTCCAGGATCTCCAGCGGTCTGATGTGTTCATTCCCTGCGTCTTGCCGCCGATGTCGGCCCCCACGGAGCCCGTCGTCGGGCCCTGCATGGGGGCATCGACGACATGAATCCGGACTGAAGAACTGCCCCCGCGCATTGGGAAACCGCTCTCCCGACGAAGAAGACAACCACATGCAGTTGTGAGTAGCGCGGTTGTGGGTGCCCTCTTTTAGGAAGGCACCAACTATACACCAACACCGATCCTGGCCAGGATCACCCTGGGCCCAGGATCGGTGTATACGCCCTCCTGCCTTGCGCAAGAAGGCATATACACCGATCCTGGGCCCAGGGTGATCCTGGGCCAGGATCGGTGTTGGTGTATAGTTGGTGCCCTCTTTGGTGGAGCCCGATCGGGGAGCACGGAAGGCGTGGGATGTGCCGCAGTGGGTGCGGTGCCGCCGTGCGGATGCAGCCACTGGGGCCTTCGACGGAGCTCCCTCTGGGGCCACGAATTGTGCGAGCGGTGCGTCAAAGTAGGCGCGGGGTCGCCGTGCGAACGCTGCCACTGGGGCCTTCCGTGGAGCTTCCAGTAGGGCCACGAAACGTTTGCGGTGTGTGTGTGTGTGTGTGCGTGTGCGTGTGCGTGTGCGTGTGCGTGTGCGTGTGGAGGCCTTCGGCGGAGCTCCTGATAGAACCACGAAGCGTGTGAGGGGTGTGCCCGAGTGGGTGCGAACGTAGTCACTGGGGCCTCCCATGGAGCTCCCTATGGGGCCACGAAGCCTGGGACGGGTGTGCCGACATGAATGCGATGCCGTCATGCGAACGCAGCCAGTGGGGCCTTCGGTGGAGCTCCCGATGGGGTCACGAAACATTTGAGGCGTGCGCCGAAATGGGTGCGGTGCAGCCTTGCGAACGCAGCGAGTATGGCCTTCGCTGGAGCTCCCTATGGGGCCAGGAAG